TGGAAAACCTTTAACATCCACAGAAACTTTCCACAGCACAAAAGTTTCTTTATAGTGGAAAAAAAGGTTCTTAAGATTATTCGAATGATTGTCACACTTAGAGAAAATGTTATTTTAAGAATTGTTAACTGAAAGGTTATTTGAGGAACCCGAAATGGTTCTTCTAGGCATTTGCTATGAAACCCCCTTTTTGGAACCTTTACTTTTAAGAGTGTAGAACTCTAGGTTTTGCTTTTTAAAATGGAAAAGTTTTAAAATGTCATGTCCTTTCAAGCCTATCTACACCTTCATGATTCTTCTTTTGAGTCCTGGCATACAATATAACATCTAAGTGGCTTATGCAACTTCCAATTGAATAAAACAATCGGCCACCGCTCTGAAAGATCTCCATCTTTATTGCCCATGACAATGTATTGTAGTCTAATCAGTCGAGGTCCACCCATTTTCATACTTGGTTATGATTCTTATCCCATAGCAGCCTACCTCACTGACCTTTCACATGGCGGTTACAGGCACAATGTTGCTCATACGCACATATAGACACACAGCTGCAGGGGTTAAGTGCTTGAAATGAAAATGGCAAACTGCAAATCCATCTAGCTTTGCTTTAGATGATCCTCCCATGGATTTTTTAGGAGGTCTGGTCACAAGAGAGTTCAGGGAGATGACTGACAACAAAGAAGAGCTAAGTATTCTCATTGCAACTGTCGTCTAAGGTTTCACCCAGCATTTGAAGGACGGAGGGGTGCAGGTGTTTTCGACCTGCCTGGTTTAAACTTCTTACATGGCACAACAGAGAGCTTATAGACCCTTAGAACTGTAGTGGCTATTATAATTGATGACAGACATTTCAGTGCCTCTCTTTGGACAATGGAGATGAAATAACGGCCGCCCCCAAGCGCATATTCATCTTATTAAACGTGATACCATATACCATGTAGTCCTTCATCACAATAATGGGATTGGGAACGCTACATTCCAAACTGCTAGATTGTTCTAACCCAGGTGCGAATGGCCTTAAATTTTGTTGAATGATCTTGTAATCAAAGCGGACAGCCAGTGGAGTGAAAGAAGTTGACGTTAGACGTCTCAGATTCATTCTTACCGGTTAATGGTTATTGTAGCCGGACATGATGATTTAGGGTTAACGCTGGCCATTTTTAAATTGCGATTATGTTCTGGAGCTTTGTGACTAGTTAAGTGCCAATCATTGTAGGCAATGAAGTCTTTGTTCATTGTGCCGTGTTAAGCTTCCAGGCATTCCATCCTCAGGCATTGTTCAGGTGTTACAGTAAGTGCCTTGACATTGAAGTGAATGAACTACTGAGGAGAGAGCTTCTTTATTGTTCGAAGAGAAGAGACCATTCCTCACTGATATCAGCCGAGGGAATCATTGGTAATAAATAATAAAACAAAGCATGGCGCGGGCTGAAAGCAAACCTGGTGAAAAAGAGTGAAGCCATTAAAAGCTGTGGGGCGTGAAGAAAGACTAATTGCTGCCTGCGAGCGTGTGCTTGGCAGAAGACTGCAAAGAAACGGCCTGTCACACACCGGGCTGCGATGCTGACCGCGCATTTCCTGGAAGGAACCCAGTTTTGAACAATTTTTAAGATTTTAGAACATTTCAATGAGGATTTCGTTTCGTGAGGATGGATGGATAGATAGATAGATAGATAGATAGATAGATAGATAGATAGATAGATAGATAGATGATGGATGGATGGATGGATAGATAGATAGATAGATAGATAGATAGATAGATAGATAGATAGATAGATAGATGATGGATGGATGGATGGATAGATAGATAGATAGATAGATAGATAGATAGATAGATAGATAGATAGATA